GCCAAACCTCTACCTTCAAGCGGGAGAAGACGTCTACCTTCAAGATCAAGAACGAGGAACCTGGAAACCGGCTGTCATATTCGCTAGAGCCCCGCAGCCGAGGTCATACATTGTTCAAGACGACGAGGGCATACAGCGCAGAAGGAACAGCATCGCTCTTCGCAGGAGCCAGAGAGCGAAACAAAAACCAGCCCGCTACCGCGACACAAATTTTATTTATGAGTGAAAAAGGGAGATGTAGACAAGTTTTTCTCTTCTACACGGGAGGGAGCCACCTCACCGAGAGAGAGCACGAGTATCGCGCAAGCGGCTTGGGACCGTTAACCAATGGGAGACACACACACAGGAAGCAGCGTTACCTGCCATGTCTAGGCAAGCTCGTCGAACTCGAACTCAGTTCTCGGTCTTCTCAGTTGTATTAACTAGTCGTTAATAAACGCTTTCATAACACCCAGAAGAAAAAATCCATCAATGTAACCCTGTTTGGCAGTCAATGTTTACTAGTGGACCGCTGACTGTGCCTGACTGTACGTCAAGCATGACTGATTGGCCAACAAGTTACTCTGACCGACAGTCAAACTCCAGTCAGACTCCACTTGTCGGCTTTCTGATGGTTTCCCCGGTGGCAGTTGGCCGCCGCGAAATGCCATCAAGATGTCTTGGTGGCGATTCTGATGGTACATCGATTGTCTTTGACTTTACGTCAGAAAGCTTTGACGTGCAGACAGACGTATGGTCAAAGGACCTAAAGTTCGTTCGGATACCACTATTTCGTCAAATCTATGAATACGAAAAATAATCTATGCACAAGAAAACGATTTCGGGACGTGAGCCAATAAAACCGCTGATGTTAGAGATATGACACGCAGCCGACCGACAACCTTCATCAGAAGCCTGCCGAAACGGAGAACACGCCACTTCGCTTCGCCCATAGAGGCTTCGCCGAGCTTTCATGAACGATCGCTCTCGACTCGTTTTGTTTGCCCGCTTGCTCCAACCTGTCGATCCTTCCCGGGCTCTACAATGTCTTATGTTTTAGTAGAATTTCTACTCGACAAGACCCACCCTGTTGTGAGTTCCGACGATGTAAGGGACTTTAGCGGTGTAGTTGAAGACGGCAAGGTGTACCAGGTCTACTGGGCCGGAGACGCGCGAACAAAAGGATCTTTCTACGACGCGAAAGTACTCTACATGGCAGGTGAGTAGAACTGAAGTACGGCGAGTGATGTACGACTGCTTTGCATAACATGCTGAAGGCTTAATTGCATTTGCAGCCGAAGCATCTTGTATAAAAGGAATGGTCAAATCGAGTTTCCAAAGCGATGGGATAGCATAGGGGTTAAGGTGTCCGATTTGTACGCAAGTGGTCGAGGGTTCGATCCGCGGCTGTCCTGCTTCTTTTATTTTTTTTTCTCTCGAACATTTTGTTTTATCGAGGCATTTGGCGATATTTATGTGTGCGTATAGCTTTACTCTTATATAAATGATGCCCTTGTTGATGAAATTCTCTTGGCAGTGGCAGTCAGACGTCATCTGATGGTCCATCACGTTCCACCAAGGCTGCTGACTGGCAGTCAATGTCCCAAATCACGTATTTTGATGGAATTTTCAATAGGGTCGGCATTTTGTGAGCCCCATTTTCAGGCATATTCTGATATATTGCTCCAGCTCTTGCAGAGTTCTGTCGCGGAGCTGCCGTATTTCTGTGCACTGTACACATTCGTTTGCTCCACTAGCATGGTGAGCATATCAGTACTTAGAAATTGGCGGAAAAGGAACAATGGTGAATCTATGGCATCCGGCTCAGAGAATACTTCGAAAAATTCAGCATGACTGTTTTGGAGCAGTTCCTTTCGCCATTTGTTGTATGGACGAGAGGACGAAGCTACAGATGATCCGAAGGAATTTTCTACGGTTTCTTCATCATCACTGGTCTCAGAGGGCTCAGCCGCGGCGGGGGGACTAATTTTCGTCACTTTCCGACAGATCACTAAAATCGCTGACATCTTCGCCTGCGACGATGTTGTTCAATATGTTCCTAACTTAGAAACCTAAAATTAAAAGGAAAAATCAATAAAAAAACGGTTAAAAGGTGTACCATTCATAGCTTTATCAAGAAAACGTATTAGAATTGGTACAAAAATTGTGCCACCAATTACGACCCACTGTATCGAAAATGATACGCAGAAATTTGAAGCAATGTTACTAAGCGGACGGGACTCAAAAGCAGCAGCGAACGGAATAATGTGGTTGCGCAACACTTCCTGAGCAAAAAAAAAAAAAAAGTGTAGAATATAGGACGGCTTACTGTTTTTCGAGTAAAATGACGCCGACGGTATGCCTTCGAGCGAGCTGCTGCGTGCGGCCATCTTGCTCTAGCTGCCAGCGGCACCCTGGCGGGGCCTTGCTAAACTACCCAAATCGGACAACTCTGTCAGCGTATCAAAACCGATACTGCGGGCTTTGATCTTAGCCATAGAGTTATTACAATAATAACTCTATGGTCTCAACTTCACGCAATTTATTGTCATTTTTTGAGTTATCAAACTCCACGTAGCAAATATGCTACGCTGGGCTTTGTGGGGTATTTAACAACACAAGACTAAGAATTATGTTACCTTTAGCCGATTACTGACTAGGAATGCAGTTATTATTGTAACGTTTGCTGCTATTACACGCGCGGAACAAGCATGGGGCAACATGGCATTAGTAAGCTTATCACTGCGTGAATCTGAAACCGAAACTGATCGGGAGCAGCCGGCCAATCTATATACTCAGAACAACTGTATACTAATAATACTTGCAGACACTCTTTGTATTCGTCAACTAAACAGCGGCAGTCACTTGCCTAATCCTTGTCAGAACCGGGTAGGGCATATATACGAATCGGGTCGGTACGGTGGTCAGAATAGAGAGTCGCGGTGGTGTTGTGATGCAGTTGCTTGTGCCTTGTTGTACTGTTGATATGTATGTGCCCGTAACAGTGTTCGGTATCGTGGTTTGTGTGTTGGCGCATGAGTTGTCATAGTTGCAGTACGTACGTAGCTCAGGAGGCTCAGGAGAGTTAGTGAATGAGCATTTTTTTTTAGTGCATCTAGCGGTTGCTACTACACCTCCTAGGTGGCACAAGCTGCCGCCTGATTTAATAAGCTAAGTGTTGTGCATCCTGTAGCTATTGATTACAAACAGCTGGCATACGGTCCAGCCGTCCAGGCTCTGCGGTCCACTGGTATGGTGTACTAGAAGACTGGGCAGTGTAGCGAGCGCGGGCGGTGGTTGGGCTCTTTCAGCGATGACCGAATCGGTGGCCGCGAGGGGGCACATCGCATCGCAGGCGTGCTGTCAGAGTGCGGAGAGCAGGCAGCGGTACCGCTTGGCTGGCTTGGCGTTCCGCACGGGTTCGATTGTTTCGTATTGTTTGGCTAATTCCTTACGGTACTCTTTATTTCTTCTGTTTCAGATAATATCTATCGTACTTTCGTTGCCAAATGCTTTGCGCGAGACGTGCATCGTCGGGCGGGACGCCACAGTACACATCGCGACACTTCTAGCGCAAACGCGACTTCAGCGCTTTTTCGCATTTACTTCGAAAGAGTATTATCGAGGACGAAATTTTATCGCCTGCATTATAGACCCTAATGAGCTTTTTCAGTAGTAATAATAACTTCGTTGACATCCCTTGGTTTCTAAGAGAAAAACCGGCGATCGCATTTTTGCGCTAACAGTCGCGTGTTATTCATGAATTCATTTGGCTTTTGGAACTTTTCTGCACATCTGCAACCTCCCAGCATATCTGTCGAACGTTGAAAAATTGAAGGCATCACATTTTTTTCAGAACTATAAAGCACCGTGCTGTACGTATTTATCAACTCATATTTATTCACATCCAAGATTACATTTAAAACAAGAACACAGAAATATAAAGCACACATAACGCTTTCAGAGGAGTTGTGCTCATTTGCACCTCCTTATCTTTAAGTACTTTAGTCGCTCTCTTTGGGAGGTCCTGTCACGGTTAAGGGACTTCGCATAAAAACGAAATCTTAGGAGAATATAAAACTTAACAATTTGCAGTGTAAGCTCTCTTTCATGCATGCTACAGTCAAGTTTTGGGAGCTCGACAGCTTGCAAGAAACTAGCTAGATCGTACATGCTTGTGGAAGTGATCTTCCTGGCGCTAAAAAAGACAGTGAAGGAGTCTTCCAACAAGCTTACAAGCTCTGCAAGCTTGCCGGACGGGTACAGTAACCCACCAGAGTCAAACTGCTGGGTGAAATCGCTTCTTGAATCCAACCCTGCGGACATCTTGGTGGAAGTTAAACATCCAGCCCAGATCGTGCACCCCGTTTTTTGCAGAATCTTGCGGGCCACATACCCGGAAACGTAGTACACAAGGCGGCTTGAGCTCTTTTTAGTTATGTAGTTGCTGTGATCTTCTGGAGGAAGAACTTTCAGAGCAGCTTCTGCATCATCTAGTCTCCCTTTGTCAACCAGCTCGTCGAGTGCATCAATCGCACTGGGACTGCTTTGGCCGGGTGTCACGCTGTTGTGTCCAAGCAATGAACTGATAACCTCAGGGGTACAATTTCCTGTCTTTGGAGGCCGCGCTAGATTATAGAAAGCAAGCGCATTTAGTGTGGTCAAAAACTGCGCTGGAGTTGGATGATCATTAGTGCCATTGGACTGCCTTACGATTCCAAACAAATTTTCCAGTTTGTCTTGGCTCAGCCTGGATGTAAGAAGGTACTTGAAACCACACTGTGAAGACAGGTAACACACAAGATCTAGCGTTGACTGCAAAGTGACGCGCAGGCCCTCCGCAGTACTCTCGCTCAAGAATCCCGTCTTAGAGTTTGGTGCGTGCGACTGCCATTCATTTAGGAAGTCAAGAAACTGCCTCAAAATTTCGAAGTCACGAGAGCCTGGTCTCAAAGCTCTTTTTGAGGAACGCGAGGTCATGATCTTGATCAGCTTTGAAATCTTTAGGATGAATGATTCAGTCACTTGAGCTGAGCCACAAGACCTTTCAATTTCCCTGCGGTAAAAAAAAAAGTCCTTTGAGTACTTCCTCACTGAAAAGGCGGAGTGCTGGGCCAACCCTCATCTTTTCGAAGCCGTTTGGAAAAAGATGTAATTTGCTGATGTGAGGCATAACTTCCAATGTCACATTTTCGCAGTCGCTTTTCCACGCCTTTTTAATGCAGTCAGCATGCACGCGACCCTTTGGTGTGTTGAACCCACTGTCCAAGAACCGATTTCGCAGATTCTTCACTAAGTGTGGAAAGTCAGAAAAAAAATGTAGAGCACGACTGTCATCAGCTGGGTGGGGGCACTTGCACTTGATGCTTGCGGCAGAGCCTGCATTATATAGAGCAGAGTGAATATTTATAAGGTAAAACAGTATAGCATTACGAAGGGATGTTCGTTAAGGTGATTGTCGGCAAACTATTATGATTAAACTCATCCGCTAGATAATGCTACTATTATTACTATTATAGCTATCACAAATGCACTTGCAAATACAAATTTTAAAAGAAGCCACACCACAGCTTACCTCTTATTCCGAAAATCCTCCACATGCTGCGATTCCAGCTCGCAGCGTCGCATGTCACACCATCAACGAAGAGGCCGGCTTGTTCGCAAAGGAGCGTTGCTTCCAGGACAATCTTGGCCAGGAGATTTGCTTTCACATTGCTCTTCGAGGAAAAGACGCCCAAGATTTGCATCCATGTTCCTAAAAGAAGAGACAAAGTCCACAATACCACGTTACAAGCATAATGAATAGTAAAGTTGGAAGAGTTAATCACTTAGAAGCAGCAAATAGGCCTCACCCAGGGGCTTATGGGGCTTCAGACCCCCCCCCCCCCCCCCCGCCCCCCACGAAATCCAGCCGACACTATAATATACACGTGCCATTTTGAACCCCCCTCCCCCTCTCCGCACGAAGTCATCGACATCCTAGCCACCTCAACCCCCCCCGAAAAAAAAAAAATTCCTGGCTACGCCGCAGGGCTCAGGAACGTGAGATTAGAAACCAAAAAGGTGGACAACGTCTCATATAAAGTATTATACCTGAGAAAGGCTGGAAGACTACCACCAAGCCATGGTCTGCAAGCTCTTCGCTGGAGTTCTCTTCACCAAACTGCCCTAGATCAACGAACCCCTCAAGGGAGCCTGCACAAAAAGGCACAAAAAGGTGAGTCATGACGAGGTGTAATGATCATTTGCAAGTGTTGAGAAAATTGTCAAGTTAGTGAAAACAACAAATTTTTTGCAGGTACCGTTAGGATTGTTCAATCATTACGCACTAACTGAGATGAATTTTAAGAAGTGGAGAGTCATACCTGAAGACTTTACGTCGATGTGTTCAGAAAGCTTCATCTCGTCGAAGGCTATAATTCCATGTCGACTGAACTCGTCCATCGTCTTCGTTTTTTCGCACAGCGTAGCAAAAACATTTGGGTTAAATCCAAAACCACTTTTGAAGTGCTGCATGGCTTTCTTTAGGCAGGTGCGGCCAGGCAGTGCCAAGATGTCGTGCCGCCTTAGGTGTTTGTACAGCTTGGGACTTCGCATACGGATAAGTATGCACTCCAGGAGCCAATCCTTTTCGTATCTCATCCCTTTCTTTGACTTCCTTCGCGCTGCTTCAAAGCATGCTCGTACAGCCGCTTGCTGCTTCAATGGAAGCCCTTTGATTTTCTCGGAGAGGACTTCCTCAGGGAGCTGCTCGTTCTTTGCTTTTAATTGGCTCAGGCTCACTTGCGCTTTCTGTAGCTTCACCCTCATCCGTCGCAGAGTCCGCCGAATAGCAGTTGTTTTGTTGGGCTTGCTCTTGACTTTTTTGCACCTTCTTCTAGAAAGCTGGTTCATGATCAACTTGCGCTGGTATTTGCAGTTAATGCATGCACCGTCTGCATCCTTGGTGAGAAGAGTGCACTTCTTGTGAAAACAATTCCCGTTGAAAGATGGGCACTTGCCAGCAACGGGCTGTACACCTGCGCCAGGGCACAAATTCAGCTTGCTGATGCGATCAATGAGTGCCTCCGCATCCTGTGGAGTAGGAACCTCCTCCTCGAGCAACTTTTTTCCTTTCAGAAACACTTGAGCCGTCGGAACCTCTTCATTATCCCCCGACTGTGGCACCTCGATTTTCACCAGCCTTATCAAGGATATTCTGCTTTCGTCGCCGCCAGCATCCCACTCACACTCAGCGTAATGAAATGCATTTTCGCAGCTTCGGAGGGCGATTTTTGACCACGACTCCGGAATTCTTAGGGTTTCAAACGGTGAACGTTCGCTCTGCACGGCGGATGCCTCACTTTTCGATCCCTCGTCGTTGTCGGGCGATCTACAACCGTCTACTTCTGCCGGCCCTGGCTCGTTGTCAGGTGTGTACCTCGATCCGTCTGGAGCCAGACCCCCAACTCGCCTTCGCTTTGCCACAGAAAGTGTCTGGTCGCAAATGTTCCTGTCTTTTCTCTTCTTTGGCAGTGGCTTCGAGATGTACTTGGGAGCGTCCGGAAAAATGGTAGGGACGGCATCTGGAGTTAACTGTGGTCGCTCGCGCAGGACCTCTGCGACTTCACCCTTGATCGTTGTTTGAAACGTGCGCTGGATGAAGCGGGACTCGAAGTGGCGTTCGCAAACAACGCTGCCATCATGAAGCTCCCTGTCACCCCTTTTGATGTTGCGGGACCACGTCTCACGCCGATCGCACTCGAGAGGGGTACGAAAGAGTGAACGGGCCTCTTTGCAGGACCGGTAGCCACTGTTGCACCCCGGCACAAAACACGTCCTGTCTCTCTTGTCCCGCCGTCTCTCCGTCATTGCGCGCGGTATTTACATGCCACTGAACGGCACCAACCGCGATCAAGTTCACTCAAAAATTTAAAGAAAACACTACAGCAAAACAAAGCGACGACGCGAACCACGAGCACACACGCAACACGAGGGCACGGCAATCCGAGCGGAAAGTAGCACGCCTATTACCCGCAGCGCCCCCTGGCGTCCTTACGCGCTGTCATCGCTGCGCCGACCTCCTCCGTCCGTTGCTTCTCGGCGTGGACGGCACACTGCCCAGTTCTAGTACACCATACCACTGGGCTCCCTACGTGCCCCTGAGATGGAAAACAATCGTAATAATTGTGTCACTCGGCCACCTAAATTATTGTTCTGTGTCGAAGAGCTGCGAAGTGCAGGCAGCAATGGATAACCACGTCGGTTGAGGTTGGCACAAACAAGAAGAGATAGGAAAAAAACAAAAAGAAAGAAAGAAAGATAGCGTGGCGTTGGTGCGAGTTAAACGTCTCCCGTCGGTGTCGACGAAGGTCCCCAGCGATTCATCGCCGCAAACGACAAGCATACGTTGTCTAAAATAAAGTCAGCGTGCCCATTACTCGCGTTACGATTTCTTTTTTGAGCGTTCTCCGCCGGCGGTAAAAACACAGTCAATCTAGCGGGATGCCATCGGGTGCAATCGCGGCGATTCCGGCAAACACGCTGCCTTCCTCCCGGATTATTGGTACGGTACTGGTGTCTAAGGACGGATGTTTAGAGTGTCTCATGGCGCCTGAAAGACGTCGAATAGGTGTATACGCCCTATTCTCTAACTCGGTCGAAAAGCCGTGCTGTTCGCTAGGCCTTACCGGGGAATCCGAGCCTCGCTAACCGTCCGCCATGTTGCTTTTTGGGGTAGTCAGATATGACTACCTGTTTTTTTACTACGTGTGGAGTCGTAATTTTTACCCTAGGGGTCGTTATATTTGGGACACCTTTTTACCACCCCAAAAGTAGTCACATATGACTACCCTTTTTTAGAGTGTACCAGTGCTGCCCGGGCGCTATACCCTAGTGTGGTTGCAGGAACAGGACCTGTTTCTACTCAAGGTTGGCCCTTGCCGCCTAAGAAGGTGAAAAAGAAAGGAAAACAGTGTAGAAATAAAGAGAAAGGCGTGGGAGCAAAAAGTGAAAGAAGGAAGAAGAGGGTACAAGAGGCGACTGACTGAATCATCGTGGTCGGGCAAAGCCAGGAACCCGTCAACGAGACGCAGGGGCTGAAGCGGTGTATTGCCTCGGCCGGGGGGCCCCGAAGGGTCCAAACATACCCCGGGCTCAGCTCAACCACCAGGGTCCCCTTTTCCCCGGACACGGGTTAAGCAACCTACAGCCAGACGTGGGTGGGCGAACCCACATAGCTCGGGGATCGTAGTGACGCCCCTCACCCACAGCCGTATATTGGGAGAGTTTGGCCAGAGCTTGTGGCGACGAAGGCGCCGGAGAAGAGAAAAGTAAATGAAAGGGAGGAGAGCGCCGAAGGAGCGAGAGAGAAAGAAGGGAGTAGAGAGGAGACGACCGCCATTTTTTAGCAACGCTGTCGGAGACTGGTCGGAGAAGAGCACTGCTGAGGCTACGCGTCTTCTGCTACGGGCCGACTTCTCTTTCGCCTGAATAAAAGTTTGTGGCCATACGCCGAAAAATCTTGATTTATTAGCTTTTAACCCACCGAGGAATAACAGAATTTCATTTTCTTGCCAGAGCCAGCGATATAAAAGGCAATAATCGAGATTTAGATGCCGGTCCCACGCATTCCGCCGGGAGAATGATCGAAGATGGCGGCCCTCCCCACTCAGGTGGGAGCAGCCGGAAATTCACGCGCATGCGCTCACGCCTCTCGCTCTACGCCGCGTGCTGATTGGCTCACTTGGGAGGAGAGCGTTACGGCGGCGAGATCATAGACTGACCAAACTCTCCCTATATACGGCTCTGCACTCACCATGCATCTACTAAAGTAGGTGCCCCTGCGTGCGGGTATGGTGGCCCACGTTGCTAGAATCCGTGGTGACGCTACTCACCAAGGACCAAGCACCTAAGGTGCAAACGCCCCCTGCGGGGCTCGGGGTACGTGGAGACGCCACACTCCAAACACCTGCTTTCACAGGTGCCCCCTGCGGGGGAAGATTGTAGCGAGACGCCTGTTGTTCATCGTCGGCGTTATCTCGCGTTTTGCGTGCATTTTGCCGCGGGGACTGTGTTTGCTCGTCCCCCTCTTCCCTTTCATTGTAGGGTTTGAGATCGCAGACATGCACAGGCCCGCTGAGTTTTCTTGAGTCCTTCTCAGTCAGCTTGTACACGATTAATGAAAATACCTCTTGCACTCGGTACAGGCCCAACCACTTTGTTGCCAGTGAAGCAGAAAAGCCTTTGCTGGCATCGCTCAGAACATGGTTTCGCCTGAGCACCAGATCGCCTACCTTGTAGCGGAGATCCCGGTGAGAGCGGTCGTACTGAGCTTTTTGTTTAGCTCGCGCTACCCCGAGATGCGACGGGCCTCCCAGAAAGCTTTCATCATCCGGGTTTGTAGCGTGCGCGCATGTTCAGTCTGTTTCGGGTGTGCGTCGCTCACCCCAGCGTTTGCCCCCAAGACGCGGTTCATTGGATTCGGCAATTCTCTTCCAAATGTGCGGAAGGCGGGGGTGAAGCTGTCGATCGATTGACAGTGGAACGGAGTGCGAACCCAATCTCGGGAATGTATGCGTCCCAGTCGCGGTGCTTTTCGGCAAATGCTGCCAGCATGGGTTTGATGTTTCTTTTACATCGCTCCGTGATGTTAGCCTGTGGGTGGTAGGGTGTGGTTGTTCTGTGCTTGATGCCCAGCGCTTTGCAAGCGTACACAAATACCTTCCCAACGAAGTAGCTTGCTCTATCTGTTAGAAGAGCTTCAGCGAACCCGAATCCGAAGAACACCTCCATGGCCTTTTCAGTGATTGCTCGGGCCGTCAGCTTTCGTAGTGGGAAAAGTTCTACCCATTTGCTGAAGTGGTCAGCGACAACCAACAGATACTGGTGTCCTTTGGGGCTCCTTGGTAAAGGGCCGACCACGTCGGAAGCCGTTAAAGACCATGGTTCTTGGCTGTGGATCAGCTGCATTAGGCCCGGAGGTTGGCCGCCTCTTGGTTTGAAGCTTTGGTAAGTGTGGCATGTGGGGGCGTAGCGGAATACGTCCATTTTCATGCCCGGCCAGGTTGCGATGTGGCATAACCTTGTGTAAGTCTTGGAGCCGGTCACCTGTCCGGCAAAGTGCGAGTCGTGATAGCAACGCATTACTGCGCACCTCAGACTTTTTGGCACTACCACCTTGAACACATTATCTGTTTCCTTCTCAGATGGGATATACTTCAGCAGGAGCCCGTCGGCGTTCAGCAGAAATTGATCCAGCGTGTCTGTACCAGTACCAGTACCAGATACATCCCGACACTCGGCGTTTACTGCAATACTAGCAGTCGTACGCCCGGAGGACGCGCCGCCCGACTCCACAAAGTCCGACTCACTCGAGAGTCCGTCGATCACCTTTCGACAAAATGAATCATTCTGCTGAGCTTTCAGTAGCTCTTCTTTGCTGAACACGATCCCAACTGCGCTCACTGCGTCGATGCGGTTCACGTCTTCGTCCGAGGTCAGCGGTGCTGCCTCCATTTTGGACTGATTTTCGGCTTCGCCTGGCTTCGAGGTTGCCGTTTGCTCGGCCTGGGTCCTCGCGGAAAGATTTGCGCAGTCTAGGGGGGCTCGTGACAGTGCGTCGGCCACCACGTTTGTGCTGCCTTTCTTGTACCGCACGACACAGTCGTATTTCTGCAGTAGCAAGGCCCATCTCGCTAACCGTCCAGCGGGTTCGCGAAGTTGTTGTTGTTTGCGGGTTTTTTGGCGCAGGAGCTCCGACGGCCATACTGCGTCAAACTAGGTAAGTTAAAAAAACATTGGTAAAAGTACACTGACTAGACTAGAACTTGACTAAAGTTTGTGTAAGATACCTGTAGTTTTGAGAAAAGCTAAAAGACGTTCAAATGGTATGAGAGGCTGCTCCCCTAGAACCAAGACAGGGTGAAATGGGATGTTGTACTTGAAAAACTCAGGGAAATAGGTTTTGTATTGTTGTAGAAGGCCACGGCAAAGGAACAGAAAGTGCAGAACAGATAAAGTTTCTCCACAGTGTTCGCATATTGGCGGTTCCTCTCCTGTAACCCAATATTGATGGGTTAGGAACGAGTGGCCGATTCTCAACCGGCAAAAGAGGACTTCGTAAAAACGATTTTTATTATATGAGGTTTCCCATGCACCAAGTTCTGGTTTGATAGCATGAAGCTTATTGTTATCGGCTAACTTCTTCCATTCAGATTGCCATAGCCGCGAGAGTGAACATTTTACGGACGTTTTAAGGTCTTGGTAAGGT